TTAATATTTGTAAAAAATACAGATTTTTGATGGGGACATTATTTGTGGTTGTTTTGTTTTGTTTCTTTGTTTTACTGCCAACATGTAAATTGACACTAATTAATGGATATTTCCTGTAATTTAACAAAACGGGGAAGCCAGTAAATAATAAAATAGAATTAAAAGCTGTTAGAAACATTCCACAGCAGCTTTATTCCTTCTAGTCAACGACGACACGACGTTCATACACAATTAAAATCATCACAAGAGGCTGAACTTTGTCAACTAATAACGAACTTTAATCAGTGATTCTGGAGGAACTTTGCTGAATTAAGATGTGCGTTTTATTCAGAACACCTGTTTGACTTGCTGGACTTCATAATAATAACTGGAGCTCCGTCGTGTTGTGTTCAGGAGCCTGCGTGCTCAGAGACGCGTCGGGTTCGTTGAACGACTCGCTGGTTTCTGCCGACTGCGTCGGTTTGTCCTGTAACTACGGATGGGACTTCAGCGACTGCATCAGCAACAAAACCTGCAGCTACGGAATCAGCAACTACTACCAGGTAACGGCCAGACGCCTCGTTACAGCTCCGTGGTCCTCGATGGAAACTCTGGTTTAAATACAGGATTCATGTCTTTATGAAGCAGCTCCTCGACACAAACACGCTGTCGGTGGCTTCTGGAGGCTCAAAGTGGTTTTAATATTTAATATTTTTTGTTTTTTATTTTACAATTCGATCTTGCAAATTTAATCCTATTTCCCTTTTTAATATCTTATATTTATTGTAAAAGTTTTAATCCTGTTTTCTTGCTTTTTTGACATATATTTGATTATTATTAATTAATTTGCAAGCGTCTAATAATATTTTCTTTCTTTTTTCAATTTTTTTTATTTCAAAAACAAAAGTTATCAGTTTCTATGATGTTTTGCCTTCTTAATATTTTATAATGATTTTATTTTCCGTACATTATATTTTTATCCAGTTTCCTTTCATTGTTTTATTTAATATTATTTAATTTTAACTGGTCTTCTTTTTTGCTTTGTTAGGATTTAATACTTGTTTTATTTTACAACAAGTTTTTCTCCTTTTTTCGTCTTGCTGGTTCAGTATTTTATCTTTTTTAT